ATGAGTTTTATATACTCTCCAAGCCGGTGGGGGTTGCCAACTACTTGATGCCTTTAGCTTCGAACAAGGACCAACAGAAGATGGAAGCCCTTTCTGCAGAATGCTTGATTAATAATATCATGCTCTTCTCTGCTCAGGTATCACCTCATACTTCTTTCTTTCCTTTTCTCTTGCTAGACATAACCCTTAATAACTTCAATCTTTGACTTTTCAGGCTAACCTCCTTGCCTCCGAGGGCTTGCAAAAGATGATCCAAGCTAAAGAAGAACTTGCTTCTGAACGGGATCGGATCGCTGCTGAACGGGATCAACTTGCTGAGTGTCTCCCGGCTTTAGAAGCAAGACTTGTTACAATGGGCGAACTTGAATCCATGTTAGAGAAATCCGAGCAAGAAAAGATAATTCACAACCAAGAGGCTGCCCAACTGCATGAAGAACTTGAAGAGTTGAAGGCCAAGTGGGTTGAGCTGCAGGATGCTGTAACTGTCGCAGCCGAACTTGAGTATGCTTCCATGGAACAAATTAATAACCTGAAAGCAAGCTTATGTTCCAAAATCGAAGAGGCTACTGCCGAGGAGAAGAGAGCTAGGATGGAGCAAAGATTTAAAAAGGTCATGGAGCAGAACAGTGAACACGCAAGGACAAATACTGACCTTTGTCGGACCTATGGCATCATGAGGGATGAAAACGAGCAACTGCAGTCCAAAATCAAGAAGCTTCGATCCAAACTCCAAGATCAAGAAGACTCTTTCCTCCTTGAGAAAACTTATGTGATTTATCACATGAGGAGGAAGACTTTGGAGGAGGCCAAATAAGGCATTGCAGACATGGATGGATGTATCGCCGAGGCTCTTGAATTGGAGACAACTGCATTAGATAACATTCCTGCTCGACCCACTGCTTCAAGATCCTCGAGCACAAGTTATGAGTCATCGGAAACCGAAGAGGAAGCTGAAGAAGAAGATAAGGATAAGGATGAAGGCACTGAACCGAATGCTGAACGACCTTCATCTTCAAAAGATACAGTAGAGACTTCTCTTGCTTCGGACTCCGCTGACAAAACCAATTAATGTAATATTATTTTTTTCTCTTTAGCTTGTAACTATGCCGAAACTTCTATTCAGTTTGGCATTTTAAGAAATAGAAGATATATTTTGCTTAATTTCTATGCAAGACATTTTTTTTCATATGATAAAGTTTGGGAATTATTTTACATCCGATAACTTTAATTTCGGGCATTCATACTTCCGGTGTTTACCCTTTGACTATGAAGGTTTCATAAGAGAGGGCCCTTATGTTTACGGTGCTCTTGAAGAGTATGTCTCCTGTTCATTTTAGCACAAGCATTTGAAGTTTAACTAACTTTCAGATGAAAAAGACCTTAACATGTCACTTGGACAAGAAAAAAATAAAATGACTTTGATTTATTCCTTCCATTTCTAAAAGTACATTTACATAAGCAAAAATTTGCTTAAGTAAATGAAGCTGCCAATACATGTGGCTAACTTGTACCACTTATTTCTACGGGGCTAATCATGCAGTCCCTGGTCCTGATAAGATATAACTTTCGGTTCTAATAGTCCTCGGTCTTTATGACACTTTTAATGTTTTGATATACAATAGTCCCCACCAGTGTTTGGATGCTAAATATGAGAATCCGAGCAATGGAGTTCTTGAATCGTCGATGATCCTTCTTCGTAGTATGCTTTATGTTGCTGCCTCATTAAAACCTTGCAAGAAAAACCCAATTGGGACAAAAATTGGATGAACGGAAAAAGAGTACAACACATACTTTCAGTATCAACAAGGATCTTCAACCATAATACCTTTTGAGGTGAGTCATGTTCCAAGTACTTGGTAATTTTACTCCATATTGATTTTTCAAATGATATGAACCTTTACTGGTTATGGCTGAAATTCGGTAAGGTCCTTCCTACGTTGGTCCTAGCTTTCCAGCATTAACCTCTCGGGTACTTTGAGTCACATTCCGCAAAACCAAATCTCTGACTTTGAAATATCGAAGATTTGCTCTACAGTTATAATATCTTTCCATCCTTTGCTTTTGTGCCACTATCCTCAAATATGCTAAATTCCGACGCTCTTCAAGCAAATCCAGCTTAATCAGCATTTCTTCATTATTCGCCTCCTTATTTTCCCGTAAGTACCTTATGGTCGGTTCCCCGATCTCTACCAAAATCAAAGCTTCTGCGCCATACACAAGGGAAAAGGGCATTTCTCCCGTGTTTGACTTTGCCGTTGTTCGATATGCTTATAATACACTCGAAAACTCTTCTAGTCAATTGCCTTTAGAATCCTCTAATTTCTTTTTGAGGTTTTGAATTATTACCTTGTTGGTCGACTTCGCTTGTCCATTAGAACTTGGATGATATGGAGAATATGTGATCCTTTTGATTTTAATCCTTCCAGAAACTTTGTGACTTTGGAACCTATAAATTGTGGCCCATTGTCACAAGTAATTTTTTTTGGTACTCCAAACCGATAAATGATATAATCCCAAATGAAACCAATCACTTCTTGCTCTCTAATATTTTTGTAAGCACCTGTTTTAATCCATTTAGTGAAATAGTTAGTTAACACTAAAAGGAATTTTACCTGCCCGGGCCCTTGAGGCAAAGGGCCAACTATGTCCATCCCGCATTTCATGAATGGCCATGGTGACACCACCGAATACAGAAGCTATGCCGGTTGATGCACTAATTGTGCATAACTCTGACACTTATCACATTTTTGTACAAATGCCTTCGTATCTTGTTCCATCCGGGGATAATAGTAACCGGCCCTTATCAATTTAAGAACCAACGAGTCCGCACCTGAATGATTTTCGCAAATTCCTTCATGAGATTCTCTCATTACATAATCAGCCTCTAATGTTCCAAAACATCGAGCCAATGGTCCTTGAAAAGATCTTTGGTATAGTTGACCATCAACAAGGCAATAACTAGCATCTTTAGTTCGTAGCGCCCGAGAGGCTTTAGGTTCTTCAGACAATTTTCCATTCCTTAAATATTCTACAAACTCATTTCTCCAATCCCTGATTAAGATGGTTGAGTTAACTTCGCAATAACCATCCACGTCCAGTACTGAGTGCAACAGCTGAACAACTGCATCGGAATCTGCTCCTTTAATTTTCGTGGACGACCCTAAATTGGCCAACGCATCTGCCTCAACATTCTCTTCCATCGGGATGTGAATTACCGACCATTCCCTGAAATGGGAAAGTAAAACTTAAACTTTCTTCAAGGACTACTGCATGCACTCCTCTTTGGTGTCAAAGACTCCGTATGTCTAATTCATTACCAGCTAGGAGTTACACTTTATCTCAATCACCTCGGAGCCTAGTCTCCGGGCTAATTCAACTCATGCAACCAAATCCTCATACTCAACTTTATTATTACTCAAAGGAAAAATTCTAATGGCATGTCTCAGGGTCTCTCCCGAAGGAGTGATTAATACTATCTCAAGACCAGACCCTTTTATATTGGAGGCTCCATCAGTAAAAATGGTCCATACACCGGAGACAGTTCTCGACACCAGAACTGCTTCTTTAACACCTAAAGGCATCATACCTGGACTAAAGTCAGCCAAAACTTGTGCTTGATTCTGCCCGAGGTTTATATTCTACATTAAATTCACTAATTTTATCGCCCATTTAGACAATCAACCCGATAGATCAAGTTTATGAAGGATGTTCCTCAAGGGAAAAGTCATCACAACGACTATTGGGTGGCACTGAAAGTAGGGTCTAAGCTTTCAAGAAGCAACTACGAGAGCTAGAGCCAACTTTTTCAAGTGTGGATAACGTGTCTCCATTTCTGACAATATTTTACTAACGTAATAAACAGGGATTTGCATACCTTATTCCTCCCCAAACCAATACTGCACTCACTGCAACTTCCGAAATTGCTAAATAAATTAACAATTGTTCTCCCTCCTTCGGTTTGGACATTAGCAGAGGACTGGACAAGTACCTTTTTAGGTCTTTCAACGCTTGCTGACATTCTGGAGTCCACACGAAATCATTTTTCTTTTTTAAAAGTGAAAAGAAATAATGACATTTTTTCGACGACCTTGATATGAATCTGCTAGGGCCGTCAACCTGCCGGTCAATCTTTGCACTTCCTTCACACTTTTCAATTGGTCAGGGATATTCTCTATGGTCTTAATCATATCGGGATTTAATTCAATTCCTCTTTGAGAAACCAAGAAGCCAAAAAATATTCCGGACCCAACTCCAAAAGCCCATTTTACCAGGTTGAGCTTCTTGTTGTATTTCTTCAAAATATCGAATGTCTCTTGTAAATGAGTCAAATGACTTCCTGCACTAATAGACTTAACCAACATATCATCAATATAAATGTTACACCCCATACTTTTGACGTCAATTGTGTTGTTAGTCAAATAACATAAGCTTAGAGAGTTTAAGATCCCTCCAAAATGTTAAGAGAGGTTTATTGAAGTGATAAGTAAGTTTCGTAAGAGTTCATGGTTGTACGAATCAAAGAAAATACTTTTCGACGAAGTTCTCCAAAGGGAAGTGGAGTCCATAGCTTTACTTTTGGGGGAAGAATAAGAGTGATTAATATGATAATAAGGTTTTATTATAAGGTATTTGAATCGTAAAATAGTCGTATGTTAATCTTTAAAGTCAAGTAAGTTTTAGAAATTTATTTTGCAAAAGTTGGCGCAAGATACGTTCATAATCTTACTGAAATTTGGGTCTAATGTCACTGAGAATTTCTCCAATGTACTTGGATTCATGGGGTCATCCACCCACCAAATTTAATTTATACGAGTTTAGTTTCTAATACATTAAATCGTTCGTCGATACGATATTTGAATAGAGAGATATTCGCATTTTTGCGAGACTGCACAAGCAGCTCCCTATAGGACCCACTTTAGACGGTAGAAATATTCAAGATATATATCAAACGCCTACAGATAATTTTCATTCATATTTTTCACTATTTCCAGGCTGAAAACCCTTCCAAACCCTCTCTAAGAGTTCTCATATAATCCAAGGCCAAAATCAAAGCCTAACAAGTGAATCCAACCCCAAGAAATCATGGTGCTAGCTAAGAGTAGCTCTAGTGCGCCGTGGTGACGTGGAAGGTTGTTCTAAGTGAGAGTAAGCTCATGTTTTGATCTTACCTTCTTGATTGAGGTAAGATATATCATCCTCCATATTTTCTTGTGCTTGTAAAGCCATGGCTAGGTTATAAGATTGAAAACCCGTGAGGTAAGGCCTGGAAATCGTAGTTATGTTTGGTTATCGAGTATGGGACTATTTTGAAGATGTTTTAAGATATGTTGTGGCTAGAAAATTGGTACAGTAGCTTGTGTAGGTTGTTGTTGGTGCTATGGACATAGTTTTGAAGAAAGAAAATAGCTTAGAATTATAGTTTGTTAATCGTAAAATCGAGCTTACCGCTCGTTGTGATTGTTGAATTGTTTAAAGAGCTTGTTGAGAATGTTATTGTTGTTGAGCCGCTCGTTTGAAGCCATATTATGATACTGAATTACTGGATATTGGTAGTTAATGAATAAGGAAAATAAGAAAATAAAGTAGAGTTGAAAAGAGTATCTTGTTGTTGAGTTACCATTGTTAAAGACTATGGAAGTTCTATGCACACAAAGTGTTCAATGAAAAGTCTAAATGAAATGACTAATAGTTTATTGAGTCGCTATTGATCCAAATCATTCGTATGATGTAGATTGTCATTCATTAAATGTTCGAGGACTTATGAGCTATCGACACAAGGTATGTAAGGCCACTTTCTTTCTTGGCATGACTTGATATAATCTTCATATCGCAAGATGTAATAGTCATAAGTCTTCCCTGACAAACTATTGATCATATTCTTGTGTATTTCCCTCCGATGGCGTCCTTCTGGATTCATGATATCACTTGTGGTCGGTCTTGCATTTACACTTATATATGTATCTATTTTACTCTATCGAGTCGCACTATAGTCGGTCGGGTACAACACCTATTGTGCAACCATTGATCGTTGGTAATTACCGAGTCCTCTTCGAGCCCGGGTATGTTATGATAATGACATGAGACATTACCGAGTCCTGTTAAGGTCGGGCATGACCGAGTCCTCTTCGAGGCGGGGTACGTTATGTTATGACTTAAATTTCCCCACAGAGTGGCTTGATATTATATTATATGGACCCATTGAGTGGCTTGATTTCTACATGTATGCATATATATCCATGATTGTGATAGTATATGCCCTCAGAGGCTTGTTATGAGTTTCAAGTTGACTTCTATACTCTTCCTTCGTGTTTCATCTTCTATTTATGTGCTTTACCTGCCTTAAATATTCAGCACATCTTTCGTACTGACGACCCTTGCTAGGGCACTGCATTTTATGCCTGCAGATACATATAGTGATTCAAACGATACTTCACAATAGGTGGCTCAACTCAGCTGAAGGTTTTCATGCTCCTTTCTTTCGGAGCTGTCTAGTGAGCTGGTAGGTGTGATGGTTGCATATATGTACATAGTTGGGTATGGTGGAGCCCTTTCCTGACTTTATGATGTTTATGTACTCCTTAGAGGCTTGTAGATAGATATTATGTGTATTAATGGTTATGGCGGTCTTGTAGGCCCGTATGTCTCATGTATATAAGCTTGTATATCATTTTGGGACGTCCTTTGTCGAGTTTCCTTTCATGTTTTAATCAAATTATCTTATGGCGGCCTTTTTGGCCCATTTATGTATGATAACATGGTTATGGACGCACCTTATGTTGGTGCTCGGTGAGGTAGGCCCGAGTGACCATCTTGCCCCTCCGGTTTGAGGTGTGACAAACTTGGTATTAGAGCAGGTCAGCCCTAGGGAGTCTACGAGCCATATCTAGCAGAGTCTTATTTATGGGTGTGTTGTGCACCACACTTATAAGTAAGAGGCTGTCGGATATTTAGGGATGGTTTCCATTCTTTCATCTCATAGATAGTTCTGTAGAGATGAGTTGTAATAATCTGAGTCTAACTCGTGCTTGTTGCAATTTCAGTAATGATGGTTACTAGAAAGACTTCGGTGAGCTCGTACTCGTAGCCAACAAATTAAATATTCTGAACAGATTATTGAAATGTTAGGGGTATGAGTATTATACTTCAATTTCAGGCTATGAGCGATTGTATCACCTATATTCAGAGGAAGTAATGAAAGCTTATAAAGGTGAAGCATTGGTTTTATAATGTAAAAAGGGTAAGGTGATGGAGGTACATAATACCTGAGATGTAGAAAGAAGATTGTAACGAGGTTGATATTCAGATAAAATGATATAAGTTTTGTTATCCCTCCTTTAGTGATGGTAGAATTACAATGAGAAGTTTTTATTACTACTACTGATTTATTGACGTCAATAGACTTAGATTTAGAAAAAAGTGAGACCTCGGGATCTAGTGAAGATTGGAACAATTCATAATATGGGTAGAACTGAAGAATAGCACGAACAAGTCAATGACAACTCTTTAGAGAATGTGTACATGATGTACCCGAAAATTGTTAGTCGGATATGACCTTTGAAGATCCTGAAGATCTATGGGCTAAGTATGGAGCCCTTTGTGTGAGAGAAGAATGTTTCCCTCAAAAAGGATTTTGTCCAAGGTAACACAGGAATGATGAGTGTCTACAAGATAAGGCCGATTAAAGAAAGGGGAAGTTAACGTAAGAGAATGTTATGTTGAAAATTTTTAGCCAAAGGTAAGAAGTGATATTGATAGCAAGGGAATGACATAAAGATAAAGGGAACACCTGAATAAAGCATGATATCTGGCCAGATCATAGTCAAGTAAAACCTACGGTAAGTATAAGTAAATGATGAGTTAAGAAGAGAAAGGTATTATGAGACCAAGTATATTATAAGGTTTGAATTAACAAAGGTCAGCGGAATATATTGACTAGAGAAATTAATTCCCTCAATTAGGGAGTACTACTGTTGGGAAGTTCCCTCAGTTAAACGGAATAAGAGCAGGAGACTCGCGAGATAGTTATAATCAAAGTTATTGAGAAATTACAAAGTAAGTAATCAATTAGTAAGAGAATAAGTTACAAAAATGGCGATCCTAAAAGGCTAACAAGGAGAAGGGACTAAGACTAACGTCTTGATAGGAAGACAAGTTACCTATTGAGACTGAGTATGTCAGTTATGAACCCGCGATATTCTACTCATGTAAATGATTCAGTAACCCTGCTTAAAAGGTACTGCTTTAAGACAAATTGTAAGTTGTTAATAAATAGGATTGCAAAGGCTGCTGAATAAACACTATGAAATTTCCGGAAAGAAATCCCGGAGCGCAAGAGTGGGCTTCCTCCTATAGGGGAGAGAGTGCGATACAGAATCGATACACAACTCATATGATGGGTTAGCAAGTGAAAGAGAAGGTTAACAAGAAGAGTTTCAAGACGAATAAGATGGTGTTATCTGGATTTTGCGGATATGTTATGACCACAGAATGATATCTACGTATCCACGCTAAGAATGGAAAGGTGACAACCTCCCGTTTAGAGGAGTTAAGCGATGGTAAGACCCGCCAGAAATATGGGGCTCGAAAGGAAATCCTGAAGGATAATCAAAGATAGAAACTTATATAGATCCCAAAGGGGGATTATTCAGAACTAATGAATGAAAGGGTAAGTCGAGTTACATCGAGAGATGATGTATGTAAAGCCTAAAAGTAGGCTAGTTAAGAGGTCGGACAAGTCGTCAACCGATACATCAATTTTAACTTCATAAGTACGTGATCACAGCTCGCAAGGGATATTTCAGATGGAAAGTAACGACAAAAAGTGCTAGTATAAACCAAATCAAGCTAAAGGGCTAAGAAGTTTGGAGTGAAGGCAAATAACACTTAGAGTTTGTACTGTCAGAATAAAAGCTGAAGTGAGAGTGAGAAGGATGATGATGGGCGGTTAAAGGTACCTAAGATCCTATACGTATATACGATGACGAGATTGCTAAAAGTATAATACTAAAAGATGTTAGCTAAGACACGAAAAAGGAGAATTTACTCTGAATATAATGGTCCAAGTACGGGTAGGTATCCAATGAGAAAATACGTCAATAACTTATTGATGACTATGCTAGTTAAATAAAGAACCAGGATTGGGACCAAGAGTGGAACTTAAGACCATGTATATAAGAAACTCCTGAATGATAGAGATTGAGATAAATCGATGCATTGTAATGCACTCATTCAGAAGGAATATGGAAATAAGGCCACTTACGCTAAAGAGTGGTTGGGAGAGCCAAGAAGAACTATAGAACCATGACATAGGGTCGGTAGCAGTGAACATGCATTAGTGGTATAACATGATATCTTTAGTAATGATAAGGACCTCTAGTATGACTTTAAGTGACAATAGCCAAAATTTAGATAAGTTTCTCCTATGCATGGTAAAGGCGTCCTCCAAGGCGAGTCTCAATGATGCAGAGACCTATGAGTCTTCTTAAGAGAGTAAAGGTTCTTGGGATTAAAAAGTGAGTAATGGCGAGCCCAGATGGTATAGTAGAATATGGTCCTCCTCGAGAAGGAAATGGTGCAGAAGCTAGATTACAATGAATAGAGTTACTGACCAAAACTCGGTGGTAGCACCCTTAGTAATCGAAGTAAAAGAATAACAATAGGGATTCACATAGGGATTCTGTCCTATTACAATCTAAAAAGGAAGTTCAACCGAACAAGGTGACAACCTCCAGGGCAGCAAAAGATAAGAGGTATGGACAACTTAACCTATCTAGAAGCTGAAGAAAGAGAAGGTTAGCCAGAGAACTTCACCAGTTAGAAAGTTTAAGGGTCCAATTTAAGGACTCCAATGATAATAGAGTTGTAGCGCAGAAGGTATCAGTGTCACCCCTGTGGCAGGACGTAGTAAAGCAACAATATGAAGATCCGGAGTTAATATTATCGTAAGAGAAATTTTTATGGCAAAGAAATATAATGTTTGAGTTCTAGGGAAACGAAGTTTTTCGATACCATGTCTATTGTGTGTCCTAGATATAGATGATAGTGGAGGTGAATTATCCCCCCCATCCCCCAATTCTATTCATCCTGATTTGACAAGGATGTAACATGGTACCAGAGACATATATTATTGTGCTATTGCGATAAGAACATTACTGAATTTTGGCACAGTGACCTAAAGGTCAGCGGGTACAGATATAGTATTAAGGCCCAGGGCTGATACAGAGAATAAAGTTCCCGGCGTGGAAATGAAAGAGTAGTTCAAGGATAAGGTGCAATATGAGTTTAGCCCGTTCTAATTAGAAATATTACTTTAGAGGGTTGATGGTCTACAAATTTACAAGATTAACCCATTTCCTACCAAGATAGATCTATTCATGCGGTCGAGAATTATATAAGTGATAAATTGAGAAGACAATACGTTTCAGGACATCCTAATGTCTATTGCCCCAGATAGAGGAGTTTAGTTATAGCGAACTTCTAAAGATCTTCTCGAAAGGTTCGAGGGTACATGAAAACTCTATTATAGTTTAATCACAGATAAGTGGTCAGGACAAGCTCACTATTCAGACGCTCGATAATATGTTGCATCAGGTATGCTTCATTTAAAAGAGGAATGGTATTCTTGAAGATTGTTTTCCCCATAAAAGGCATAATAAGGTTCGACCAGAAAGCAAGTTTAACCCCAGATATATCAAATTGTATAAGATCACTCAGAGATCTGGCCAAGTGGCTTATGAGCTTGAGTTACCTCCAGAGTTAGAGAAAGTCCATTAAGTTTTTCACATATCGATGTTACAAATATGTATAGGAAATCCCTCTCGTATATCACCTGTCGGGAATATTTAGATTATAGAGGATCTATCTTATGAAGAGATCCAGTTGCTATTCTAGATCATCGAGTTCGAAAGTTGCAGAGTAAAGAGACATCCTCTGATTAAGGTATTGTGAAAAAACAATAAGGTAGAGGAGATGATTTTAGAGCTTGAGGAAGGCACGAAGATTAGATATCCTCATTTATTCTAACTAGAAGATTTATATTGATCCTCGTGCGTTACGATTTTCTTATCTATGTTCTATAGTGATGGACTTATCTTATATACCTTAGTTAGGTGATGATCCCAGAAAAAATATGATATATGCAACCCATATTCCTAGTATGGACAGTCGAGATGAGTTAAGGCTTACTATATAGATTCCTTGATTAATAGATAATCTTGTGAGGCCAATTAGATGCTATTATGCTATTTTGTAGCCCTATGTGGCATTTGTTGTGTGTTTGTGGTGCTTATTAGGTTTCGGATAACCCTATTGACAAAGGAAACTCTGCCAAAATTTTTAGAAATCTTTGGAGTTAGAATATTATTCAACATTCGAGGATGAATGTTGGTAAGGGAAGGTACGATGTTACACCCCATGCTTTTGACGTCGATTGTGTCGTTAGTTAACTAACATAAGCTCAGAGTGTTTAAGATCCCCCCAAAAGGTTAAGATAGGTTTATCAAAGTGATAAGAAAGTTCCGGAAGACTTTGGGGCTATACGAATTAATGAAAATACTTTTCGGCGAAGTTCGCCAAAGGGAAGTGGATTGCCATAGATGTACTTTTGGCGTAAGAATAAGAGTGCTTAATATGATAATAAGGTCTTTTTATAAGGTATTTTAATCGTACAATAGTTGTATGTTAAGCTTTGAAGTCAAGTAAGTTGTAGAACAAAAATTTGCAAAATTTGCCGCAAAATACGTTCAA